GTAAATATATTTTTTTTTCTCTCCTTACAATTAAAATGTCCTGGTAGTCCATTACTCTGAATAAGGCTACTTGAGATCAGTGTTATTTTCATTTAACGTCAGACCGAAAAAGTTTACGTTTATTTATTTATTTATGTTGTTGTTGAATTTTTTTACTTCTTTTTTTTAGATTACTTTTTTTTTTATCTATTGGAAATGTTTGGTAATGTGTCCAAAGAAAATCTTACTGAAAGCTACATTTTTTAAGATATCATTCCTCAAATTTGGGACATAGCCTTGTTTAGATTTATGGCTTGGATTTTCTCACAGCAGTAGACTTAAACGTATTTTGTAAAATATATATGTAAAATAAAATAAAAATTGTATTTTTTGTGCATTTTTCATATAATAAATGAGTTTTCAGGTTTTTAAAAACTTTTTTCACTTCAGCAATAATCTGGCAAATTTCGTTGTTAAAAAGAAACCAAGTCTGTCTTAAGTTCTGCAAAGCATTCGATTTGTGACAGTTTAAATTTCATTTTCAGGTCCATGCTCAAAAAGTGAATAAATGGATTATAACCACTGCATAGTTATAATTTAGTACCATAATATCCCCTAAAAATACAACATATTAAATAAAAATATTATCGAACTAAAATATCATACAACAATTTCATTGAAATGAATTTTTAGAAAATCTGTCATTTGAGAGTTAATATTATTAAACGTTTATAGCATTTATTTATCTTGAATTAGTTTTTTATTTTTGTTATTTTCAGTTTTTGAAGTATTTTCATCAAACAATGTCAGGTGGGACTAAATATTATCCAATGAGGAATTTTTTAGGTTATTAAAAATAAGAGTAACTAAATGTTAAAACAGGGGTAGCCTAGTTAGCTATTTCGCTATATTTTAACATTATTACGTTGCTATTTTTGCTATGACATTTATAGATTTTTTTCTTCCCTTTGGAATTAGACCAGGAACATCCAGGAAGTAAATAGGGACCATTTGGGTTTCATGTTGACTTTATTACAGTATTTCTACTTATCTGTAAGGCTGTTAGCATAATAGATTGTGACATAAAAAACACAGATGGAGAGTTTTGTCATGCTACACCACTTACCGTTGAAAATGAAGTGGCTTATTTCTGGAAAATCAACAATATTTTGAGAATAGCTGAGCTAATGTTATGCTACTAAAAGGTAATGTTAGCAGCATTGCTACATGCCGCTAGTTACTCCCCATCACTGAGGGAGAAACAAGAGTCTGGTTAATATTTCCTCAACGCATTTTTGATACAACTTACACGCGCTGTAAAAAACACTCCTTCCAGGTACAACATGCTCAACCACACCTTTCTTTCCTTCTTCCACCTTAAGGTCTCCTTATTAAATGGCTTACAGGGGATGAGATGAGACATGCAGAAACACAAACATACACAATCTATGTATATTAAAAAAAAATATGCAAAGCCAGTAATTGGAGGATGGTGAGAGAAGTCTAGTCTGTCTCTTTGTGTAAACTGTCTGGACTGCTCCTGGGAATTTCCCTTAACTTTTTTCTCCCCGCTCAAGCATTGCAACACACTGTTATTCTTGTGAGGGCTTGAGGGCTTGTCTCTGGTGGCAGAGGTCTTGGTCTGTTAATTCCTCCGGACACACTGAAGCTCTGCAGGAGCCAGAGACACTGGGGATGATGAACAGTGCATGGATTGAGAGACTGAGAAGGAAGGGGAGGAGGGGCAGAGCACAGGGTCTTTTTCCTCTCTCATCAATAATACTTTTTTATGTACATTTATATGTTTTGTCCACTCATGAGTGGCGAAGAGCAAATCCAAATAACTGATGCTGTCAGTTTCACTGCCAAGCTCCATTACCGGAGAACATGTTTTGGTCCCACTGTTCTGGCATTGCCATTTCAAGACATTTATTTCTCACTTGCTCAACTTTCACTCACTTTCAACAGAGCTAAAACTTTGGGACACTCAATGTTTCATTCATGCCTCCATATTTTCAACGGGGACCGTTGACGCAAATTAAGTGATTATCCATGTGATTATTAAATTGTTCCCTCATTTCAGGATCCCCATTCAAATGCTGTATTTTTCATGCCAGGCCAGTAGATGGCGATGTCACTTTGTAAAGAAACTACAAATGCATGTAAAGAAACACGAAAAAGGCATGATGTCACAGCTTTATAAATTCATGTTTTTGTAGTTTACATGGAGGTTATAACAATGCAATGTTCAAAACCCCGTTTTCAAACGTTGGCATTTTTCAGGGCCCAAAAACACCATTGTTGTGTAGATGAATAGGGCTGGGTATTGAGACAAATTTCACAATTTGATTCGATTTCGATTCACAAGCTTGCAATTCGATTCGATTTCAATTACGATTCGATTCAATATCGATTATTTTGAATATCAGTTACAATAAATGGCAATTTTTCTCAAGGGAATCAAATCTCTTAACTAATGCTGTAAAATAAGGGAGTCTAGGTGTAGCCTACTAGGCTTCATTAGCCTAATATGAAGGTAATAATGAACTGTTTTGTAGCTATAGAAACGCTTAAATTACACTTATTTATTTTTATAATAAGAAGATATGAAATACATTTAACATTTAAATGGTGGCTGTCATAAAAACTTGCCAGATTTATTCAAATATGCATTAATTATTGAAGAACATTAAGATTATAATGCATATGTAATATGGTGTATATATTTAGCAAAATGCTCCTCTCTAGAGTTATTTTTTTCTAGCTGGCTAACGAGTTTATGTGGGTTTTCTGAGGTAAATATGACGATACCTGACATTGATTACAAGCTGTTTAACTGATGTCTTTCAACGGTTGAAACGCTGATTGAGCGAATCAATGTGACATGATACGGATTTCGATAAGTTGTACTCTATCTTTTAACACACTTTCAGATGCTCATTCATGTTTATTTCGCGCTGTAACTGGTATTATTAAGCCGGAAGAGAGATCAGCGCTGCTGTTTCTCTTGAGCTGCGCCAGAGCGATCTCACGCCACAGCGCCAAAATGCTATTTATGTTTTTGAATTTCTAAAGAAAATGGACGTAATTTGAAAAATAAGACTTTGTTTCATATCAATAGTAACAAAGGACAAAGATTATTGCGATTTTTTTTTTTTTTTTTGGATGCGCGCAGCTGCGATACAATGTCCCATTCATTCAAATGAAACAGGATGACTAATCGATTCTTGAGATTTAAGAATCGATATCGGTTCGTAAAAAGGAGAAACGATTAATATCGAGAAATCGATATTTATTACCCAGCCCTATAGATGAACAGCCAAAACACACAAAAAGTTTTCAGTTTTTAGTTAAAAACGGTGTTGTGTAAATTTGTAAATTGTGGAAACAAATTCTTAATTTGTGGCCACAATATCTTGTTTTTTTTAGCCTTGCATGTCATGTGCGGGGCTAGCCAAAACATGCCAGTGATTTAGCTACAATGAGGGATTCATTTTACTACAAACTTCAAACTTTTAAGACAACAAGTGACATCGCCAACTAATGGCCTGACATGAATAATACAGCGTTTTTTTTAGTCGTGGAGGTAAATGGGGATCATTTTGATAATGCTGTCGACTGTATGCGGAAAACACGAAGGAAAAAATTTTACATTTTTAATACAATTACAAATCCTTAGGTAAATCATGGCCAAGTTGTATTTAGTTAAACCATGGTCATGATTTACCTGCAACAAGGGAACAAATTAATATATAAGTTTATGAAAACGATACTTTTTACGAAAACAAACTTTCATTACAAAGTTACATTGCCAACTACTGGTCTGGCATAAATAATACAGCGTTTTTGATTGTTTCACGGATTTGAAATGGGGATCACTTTGACAAAGTTGTCATCTCGTCTGTATCCAAAAAATGCAAAGAAAAACCTTTTAAAAAGGACTAATCCACGAATTTTAATGGTCTATTTTTTACCCAAATAAGCACAAAATCTTCTACAATACTTTGATTTAATGACTACAAATATTTGGATTTTAAAATGTCAAGTGGTGAAAACATCAAGTAGAAAATACTTAAATACTTTGTTTGGGTTTTGCATACTTTTATTTATTCATTTTACAAATATGCACTTTGAGTCATTAATATCAACAGGGTTTTTTCCATCTGACCTGAAAAAAATGCATTGTTTAATGAAAAATGTTATGACTGAGACAATCGTGGGGATTTTAAGTAGTCAGATGATGAAAAACTGGCCTTTGTGTGTTGGTTACACCACACTGATTTTATTTAGTTTATTAATTATTAATCGCTTTGATTTCATTCTCCTTTTGCATTCCACAGAAGAAACAAAGCCAGGAATGATATCATCAGGGTAAATGGTAACAGAGTTTTCATTTCCGAACCATTCCTTAAAAGTCAAGAGCTTGACCAGCTAGCAAGTGTGCAGTGTTTTTACATGATAGAAGTTCAACTTATTATTCTCATGCTTGGATGGATGGGAAGGAGAGCAAAGGTTTTTGGTTTTGGCAGGAATCCCAGCTTGGCATGGGCCGCTGGTGCTCGAGGTATGTGTGGGTGTCCGTGTGTCCAAGAGTGTCGGTCTTACAGAAAAGGTACAAGTATGCATCTGGGTGCTCCGTAGAGGTTTCCCACACACATTACTGGTAGATGTGGTTGTGCTGTGACTCATTCTCTTTGGCAAGGCGGGATCTCAAGGGACTTCAATTCCCATAGTCCCCTTTTTCTCTTGCCTATTTTTACCACAACCATAACAGATGTCCTCTCATTTGCTTTTCCTTTTTCCTTCATATCAAACTGTCACTAGACGTCCATCCATACCAAAACGTCTTTCCCTATCAGCTCTTTCGGTTCAGCTCGTCTGACCTCGTACCCCTTCCCCCCCTGTCTTCATTGAGATGTCAGTCATGAACTACATAGACGCTGGATTTCCAGCTTCTTCACCTGCTGAAGCTTTAGTGTGTGTGTGTGTGTGTGTGTGGGTCCTCACACATTCCTCTCCATCTTACGGCTAAAGCCAGGGTCAGGAATGCAAATCATGATTGTCACACACACAAACCCACAAAAGTAATGAAATGAGAACATGCACAACTAAATGTATTTTGTTACACAAGAAAATGCCAAGTCTTTTATTACGAGAGCCAATCTGTGGTATGAGTGGAATGAATGAAAAGCTTCCAGAGAATTTCATTATTCCCTTTTACCGCACCAAACTGCACAAAACCCAATTTGGAAGCTAGTGTGTGTGTGCCGTGTCTATTTATCTACATTGTTTCAACTCTAGGACAGTGTGCTCACCTCCTGTAGTCTGCTGTCTTCACCTTTTCCTTATTATCTTGTAGTCCATTCAGTGTTTCCTTCACTCCCATAATTTCTCCCGAATAGTTGTCTGTCTATGGTGCTTTCTGTCTCAGTGGGGCTATAGGATTCACCCATCTAAAACTTTAGAGAACACTGGATTCAGTAGACCCTGAAACTCACCCATCCCTATTTCTCCTGTTAGGCATTATCTGACAGAAAATGACTAAAGTAAACACTGTCTGAATCTGAACTAAATGTGTTAACTATTAACTTTTTAATAGCTCAGAGGAAGTTACCTGAATAACTCACGTCCAGAGTCAAAATATCAAGGAAAAGAAAACACTTTTTCAGATTTTGAAGCAGGCTAATCTGGTACGCTAACGGTTTTATCACGTCCTCACTTGTCAAATCTTGAGGAAATGTGGAGCGAAGTATAAATAATTCTGTCTTCTCAGGGTGATAAAGGTGAAACACATCCGAGAGGTGTTTCATTTCTGAACAAATGTGTGAACCCATTTTAAGTGAACGGTGTTTTTAACGATACGGTTGAGCGATTGAAGTGTCGTCGTCACCTACTGATGTAATACGATGTTACCGATGTTTTAAATCTTTTTTTTTTTACTGATTGAAAAGATTCGAATCACTGAAATGACTGGAATTGCGGTGACTTGAAAGGCTGGTTAGCAGAGATTACCTCGTCCTGAGGGGGCGCGCGGCTCTCGCTGAGTTTAAGTTGAGGAGATGAGAGAAGCGCCAGTTCATTCACTGTCAGATCCCATCCACGCGCACGAGCGAGACCAGACGTGTTCAAGTTTGAACCGAATTAGTTTTATACGAGGAGTTGAGGACACAAAGTGTGGACGGTGGATAAAATGGACTATTTTGGATAAACGTGGACTCTTTACTCTATCATTGTTTTGAATCTAGGACCACCTTTGGATTTAGAATTTTTTTATTGAGCTCAGAAGCGATGCGGTCAAGGGATGAAGGTTCGCTTCATTCATGTTTTCTTTTTTAACGGATTAAAACGACTATAATTTATTCGTACCAGTACAATTCAGAGAGTCGTTTTTAGGGCTTTGACATAGGCTACTTGTGAAGAGTTTATCCTTGGAGAGGTTTGTCTGTGGAAAGGCATGTTCCCTGGCTCCACGCCGGTTGGAGCATCTTTGCGGCTCCGGTCGGGAAGGTTTCGCCTGCGCTGGGACACATTTGGACCACAGGGGAGATGAGAACCGCGCTGATCTACTTTCTCTTCTGCTGCTTCTCTGTGCTTTCAGCAGCCGCTGAGGTAAGAAGACCAACCTCTGCACACATTCATACATTGGGGATAAAGGGAGAGAGGTACACGATGATTCACTGTAAAAAAAAGAGAGAGAGAGAGAATGCTTCCTTCAAATTTTAAGTACATTAAACTTGGATGTTTAAGTCAATTCAACTTAAATTACATTAAACTGACTTAAGAGTTGGAACTGGTACCCAATAAGTTCTTTAAAAAAGTAGAAAATTGCTTAACTTATTTTGATGCTTAATTCGGTCTGCCACTTCGCAGTTCCTCATTCAGGTCATAATAATGATTATAAAATAATCATAAAAGGAACACCCATTCGTATTGCTCATACGTTTTCTAAAATCGAAGTTATTATGTAATATTTGTTGGCTACTCATGTTGGTTACATACAATCGGGAAAAAATGGTAACACTTTTTTCTCATTTGTTAACATCTGTTAATTCATTACCTTACATTAACTAACAATAAGCAATAAGCATTAAATAACCTTTGGTAATGTTAGTTCACTGTTAACTAATGTCAAATGATAGACTACATCTTTTGATCTTAAGAGTTTATCAGTAGCCTAAATGTTGAGAAATTATAACACTGACTAAGAATAATATATGCTGTCGAAGTAACAAATGAAACCTTATTGTAAAGTATTACCATAAAAATATAGAATTTTCTACAAATATTTTGATATAATGACTTTTCAAGTGGTGCAACCGTAAAGTATTTAAATACTACTCAATAAACAATTTACTGAAGAACTTAAGGGGTTTGGCCCACAACACATGTATTTTCATTCATTTCATTTTGATGAATTTTGGAAGGACCATTTTCTTCCACAGGAAGCGCCGATTCCCCGAGAGCTGATCGAGAGACTCTCTAACAGTGACATCCGCAGCATTAGCGACCTCCAGAGGCTCCTGGAGATTGACTTCCTTGGTAAAGTGTTGTTTTTTCTGATTATTTGGCAAGAAGTGTGGGTAGGCCGAACATGATCTAAAATATATCCTAAACCTATACCAGCTAGTGGTGATTCATATCTGTGACTTGAATCTTGTTAATCTGTTCAAAAGGAAAAAAAAAAAGATTTCTTTAAGATTAATTCAGTTTTATTTAGTGGTCCCTGCAGTTACATCTTTAATGTGGCAGAGACAAGTTTATGAATGAGTCATTGAAACATTCACTCAGCCTTCTTGTCAGCTGGTTGCTAAATCAACTACTACAGGAATGTGGGTTGTGTGCTTGATAAATCGGAGAATTGTCGTAGTCCTTGATTCGTTTGAGAATGATTTGTTCACTTAAAAGATTTGTTTCAAAACATGAGTGAAACCCAACCAATGTCAGCACAATGTGTCAACCCTGCAAACACAGAACGATCCCCTAACCATCCCATATGGTTCCCATTTGGTTATTTTTTTGGGAACCAAACAAGAACGTTCCCTGTAGGTTATTTTTAGGTTCTATTTTTATAACTTAAGGGGAATGTTCACATAAAGTTTCCACAATATTCCCCTAACCTTAAAGAGTAACTAAACCCTAAACCAAGTTTAAATTTTAGTTAATGATCGGTAAGAATAGATCTTTATTAATACCAGTCATTGATTCGAGTAACTTTTTTGACATTTGTGTATAAAGTGTTTTATTTCTACAATATATGGTGTAAAAACGTCTTAGTGCTGCCCTCTTCAGGTTGAACGGTGGCTACTGCAATTGAGTTTTCCTATTGGATGTTAGCGGTTCTTCGCGACATACGCAGGTTTCAGCTCACCACGCTCTTGGTACGAGCTACGCCCTTGGCAGTATAAAAACCAGCTTGTTTCGTCAAAACCACTGTAGCGAGTCAGGAGTTGGAATTGCGAGTACTGAAAACGATCAGGATGGAGTGTTTTAGCATCTATTTCGTCCCCTCTATCTCCGCTGGGGTCTGCCAACTTTTTCAGCATCTTTCAAATATTGCCAGTGGGTGGAGTCAGACTCTGACCAGGGGTTTAGTTACCCTTTAAGGTAACGTTCTATTTACATTAAGAAAACTTTCCTGGATCACCAATAGGGAACGTCCTTGGGAACAAAAACCAACGTTCCCAGAACGTAAAATTGTTAGCTATGAAGTCGCTAAAATGTTGAGGTGCAATGTTAGGAGAACAAGACTGTGGGAATTATCCATTCAGAGGAGACTCACTCAATCTTTTATTGCACTCAAAGTTTATGGACCTCGCCACGAACGCCTCAGCACATGTTGCCTAGAGACCGCAGTCCCGCTCCTGCACTCATGGCGCCGCATCAGCTTTTGAACTTCATAAATCATGTCACATTTTGGCAAGACAAACATTCTGAACTCAATTATGTCATTTGAAATTACGTAGTTACAGTAACTCGTATCAAAAAGTAGTTTATTCCCATTCTTGAAGCATGAGGGATATTTCAGCATGTTTTGTGTATAAATGTAAAAAAAAGAATGCTTTTTAAAAACATAAAGTTTAAAAAGTTCGGTTTGGCTTACGTTCAGTATTTAAAATCCTAACTGACAGCGATGATGTCATTGCATCATTTGCATACTGCATTGCTATTGGTCTTATTCCTTGCATTTATTTGCATTCTCAATCGTCATTTCTCACATCTACCACTGCCTTTACACTGAAAAGATGCTGCCGATTAGTAATTCCCACAATTAAGACTAGTCGATTTTAATAATATGAAGTTTGGCACATCCCACAAATCATTTTTAAAGTGTATAAATAGTAAAATAGTTCACTCAAAAATTAAAAAGTCATCCCTTACTCACCCTCATGTTGTTCCAAACCTGTATGAGTTTCTTTCTTCCGTTGAACACAAAAGAAGGTATTTTAAAGAATGTTGGTAATCAAACTTTCAAACTCCATAAATACCGTGGAAGTCAATGGCTACCATCAACTTTTTGATTACCAACATTCTTCTTTTGTGTTCAACAGAAGAAAGAAACTCATACAGGTTTGGAACAAGATGAGGGCGAGCAAATGATGACAGAGTTTTCATTTTTGGGTGAACTATCCTTTTAAGGAAGCCAAGTATGATTTAGCTAGTTTCGGATCACCTGACCCTGAATGGGAGCTTTTTTTTTAATGGCAAAGATTTAATAGCTGAAGACCCAACTGAAATGCCTCAAATATAAACTTCCAGCACATCTAATGAGGAAATGCTGAGGAGCGTCAGATTTGATCCGGCCCATAAGCGCTGTAATTGAAATGCAAACAGCTGCGTCTGTGTGGCTGGTGCCTGAGGGAGGTCAAGAGACTCTCTCCATTATACTGTTGTCATGCTGCCTTTATGAGTTGAGTGCGGCTGAATGCCAGCGCTGCTGTAATGTATTATTCATGTCGAATTCCTCAGTTTTGTGTGTGCATCTCTGCGTGCGAGTGTGTGTCAGTGTGTTTGGGAGAGAAAAGAGGCTGAAGCTCAAGTAGTGTTTGCGTTTGTGAGGTCTGTTGCTCCGCTAACGACTGTGTGAAAAGCCGAGCGGGTCGGTCAGCCACGGTGCTCAAGCCTGAATTAAAAGCGCCCTCCTCCTCCATTGGGCCGGTTTCCGGGGGCAACAACAGGGGCATCTCTGCCCCCCGTCGTCCCGCTGTATGGCTGAATGGCTCGGATCCGTAGAACAGCATGATTAAATAACGCGCACTTTGCTCAGACCAACCAACCAGACGTCCTTAAATCATTTTAAATGACACAATCCTTTCCGAACGTCTTATTGTTGAGTCTAGGTTTTTCTCGGCGTGTCCTCAGGAAGTGTTTCGAATGAAGTGTGTGGAGGCAGGTTGGCGGACACCTTTTATTCTTCACTTAGTGATCAGACCGGGTTTTCTTCATTTCTTTCCATCGGGCCTGGCAGAGGCGGGGTTCACAAAGAGGTTCAAGGGCACTCTCTCTTCACAATAGTGAGGGAGGGATTGTGCATTGGATGGTTGTTTGTTCTACATGCCAAAATATGTTGCTTAAACACTGTTGACTTTGTGCTTCGTTGACTCCTTTTGCAGAGAATGAGGTGCTGGAAGACGTTAAGCAGGGCCACCATAAGGAGCATCTGTATGACAGCAGACACCTCAAGAGTTCACACACTCACTCTAGACGCAAGAGAAGCATTGGTAAAACACACACGCACACATGCTCACGTACACTTTGCAAAGCTCCTGTGGTTGTTCTGTGTGTTTACGGGCTATTGTGTGTTTAGAGGAGGCAGTGCCAGCAGTCTGTAAGACTCGCACAGTGATCTACGAGATCCCACGCAGTCAGGTGGATCCCACGGCCGCCAACTTCCTGATCTGGCCTCCGTGTGTCGAGGTGAGGCGATGCTCAGGCTGCTGCAACACCAGCAACATGCGCTGCCACCCGTCCAAAAAACACCACAGGGCTGTGAAGGTGAGAAAACACACATCCTTCCCTCTATATATAATGTGCCTGAGTAAATATATTGTATATATATATATATATATAATATATTGAATATTTTTTACATATTGTTTTATACACTGTAAAAAGTAATAAGTTGACTTTACTAGGAAAAGCTGTGGAAACTGATTGCCTCAAAATTTTCAAGCAAATTAGGTCATCATTTTTGAGTTGATACTACTCTCTACTTCTTTGTAGAGTTAACTTGTGTATTTGTAGAGGTTACCATAAAACTTGAGTACAGGTAACTTAATAATCTCAAGTTAAGGCAACTTACAGATTTAAGTTGAGATTTGTAAGCAGAACTTACACAAAACAGTTAATTTAACATGTCTGCTTGTTCTACTTACTAGAGGAATGTGTGGAAACTGATTGCCTTAAATTTCTCAAGCAAATTGTACTCAAAATTCTGAGTTGAGAATACAAAGAAAGACAACACATTTGGCAAACCACTAGAATGTTTATTTGTTCAACAACAATATGTTAAAACATTACTGGCCCGCCAACAACATTTTAGAAATAAAGCACATAATGCACTCAAGAAAAAAAAAACAAAGTACTAAAGACAATAAAAACAATGTTTCTTTGTTTTTAACATCTTTACAAAGTGGTTGAAAGCAGAGCATGCAAGTCACACAGTTTGGTACAGAATTCCTTTCCTACTACAGTTCTCTTTAAAATTCTCTTCTTATAAAACTATTCCAAAACCAAACAAGTAACATTAATAAGGCTTTTTTTTTCTTTCCTTTTTTCTTTTCAACAATTGAAAAACAGTGAAGTATCTATAAAACAGTACTGAACAATTTTCTTTAGAGTTCTCTTAAATGAACACTCCACTGTTTTATTTCATATTAAGGGAATAGTTCACTTTGAAATTAATTTTTGATATGTTGTATCTTACTTCAAGGGCATCCAAGATGTAGGAGTCTTTGTTTCCGCAGTGGTTTCAATTTTGATATTTTTAGGTCAAAGCGTTCTCGTCTGTCAGTCACATAATGCAGGTCTATGGTCACCACCACAAAGAGCATGCACAGAGAAGTCAAAATTAAACATGATTTAATGACTCGTAAATGTAAGTACACATTGATGGCCTAAGACACGAAACGAGCGGTTTGTGTGAGGAAACGAACAGTATTTATATCGTTTTTACCTCTTGTTAACAGCCATGTCCAGCTGATCTGGATCAGATGTCCAACTGAACCGCATTGAACCATGTCCAACGTTCTGCAAGAAGTGATCTCGCGCGTCTACGTCACGCATTGTTTACACAGAGATTTACCTTTCACTAAACATATTTAGATATATCGAAATCATTTTTTATTGCGATTTCCTGTATATCTAAATATGTTTAGATCTTCACAGTGAAAGTTAAAACTTCCGAAATCTCCGTGTAAACAATGAGTGACTTAGACGCGCGCGAGATCACTTCCAGCGGAACGTTGGACATGGTTAAGTTCGGTTCAGTTGGACATCTGATCCAGATCAGTTGAACATGGCTGTTAACAAGAGGTAAAAACGATATAAATACTGTTCGTTTTCTCACAAAACACTCGTTTCTTGTCTTAGGCCATCAATGTGTACTTACATTTACGAGTCATTAAATCATGTTTAATTTTGACTTCTCTGTGCATGCTTTTTGACGTGGACCCCCTAAACATCCATTGTATGACTGACAGACAAGAACGGTTTGACCGAAAAATGTAAAAATTGAAAATACTGTGGAAACAAAGACACCTACATCTTGGATTCCCTTGAGGTAAGATAAAACATATCAAAAATTAATTTCAAAGTGAACTATCCCTTTAAACTATGTTATTTCCTCACAAAGACGAGTTGATACATACCTCTCACGTCTCAGTGCGTGCACTCAATCGCTTTAGCGCGACGCGACACATTGATAGCACTTAGCTTAGCACAGTTTATTCATTAGGATCCAAAAAGAGATGAAGTTAGAAGCGACCAAACACCTCCACGTTTTCCCTATTTAAATACAGTTACACGTTGGTAAGTAGTTACATGACCGAGAATGGTGTATGATTACACCAGTGTAAAATGGATAACTATAATGTATGGCGGAATAGCACTTGAGAGCACTTCGACTTGGCGCAGTAATATCATCACTCCTAAAAAATCCTCTCATCATCAGTAGTGATGATATTACTGTGCCAAGTCGAAGCGCTCTCAAGTGCTATTCCGCCATACATTGTAGTTCTCCACTTTACACGCTTAGAAAAGCGGCACATTTTATTTTGTCACCATACTTGGTCGTATAACTACTTGTGTAACTGTATTTAAATAGGGAAAATGTGGAGGTGTTTGGTAGCTTCACTGCTTGGATCCTAATGAATGAACAGGGCTAGTTAAGGGCTATCAAAGTTTCGCTGCACGTCAGAGAAATTAAGTGTACGGCGCACTGAAACGAGAGAGGTATGTAACAACTTGTCTTAGTTAAGGGAATAAAATAGTTTAATATAAAAAAAAATGGTGGAGTGTTCCTTTAAAGACAGCTCATTGCTTGTGGAAGATTTTCAAGATCATCCACAACCACTGTACCTTCCAGAATGATTGCCGTTGTTGTGGCATCAAGATGCAGGGAGTAGGGTATGGCAGCGGTTGCAGACGATTCGGAAATCACTGTCAGAACTCATTTCAATGTTGGACATATCTTCATTGTCATCACAGTCCTAAAAATGGGAATAGCATATAACAAAAATTAGGTCATAGAACAAGACATATTTTAACGGAACACTCCACTATTTTTTCATAGTAAACTATGTTACTCTCTTTACTAAGACGAGTTGATACATACCTCTGTCGTCTCAGTGCGTGCACTCAATGCCTCTGGCGTGCGGAGACACTTTAACACTTAGCTTAGCCCAGTTTATTTAAACAGAGAAGCGACCAAACATCTCCACATTTTCTCTATTCAAATGTGGTTACACGGCCAAGTATGGTGACACAAAATAAAATATGGCGGTGTTTGGTCACTTCTAACTTCATCTCAATTTGCATCCTAATGAATGAACTGGGCTAAGCTAAGTGCTAACAATGTTTCTCCATGCACCAGAGCGATTGAGTGCAGGCACTGAGACGAGAGAGGTATTCATAGAGAGGTATTCATCAACTCGTCTTTGTTAAGGGAATAACATAGTTTAATATGGAACAAAATGGTGGAGTGTTACTATAAAGGGATAGTCCACTCAAAAATTAAAATCTTGTCTTAATTTACTCACCCTCAAGTTGTTATAAACCTGTATGAGTTTTTTCTTTTTTCATCTGCTGAACTGAAAAGAAGATATTTTGATGAATGTTGGTAACCAGACTGTTGAGAGTAGCCATTGACTTCCATAGTGGGAAAAAAAAACTATGGAAGTCAATGGCTAATCTCAACTGTTTGATTACCGAACTTCTTCAAAATATATTATTTTGTGTTCAATATAAGAAAGAAACTCAAAGAGGTTTGGAATAACATAAGAGTGAGTAAATAACAACATCATTTCATTTTGGGTGATCTATCCCTTTAAGAGCACATAGTCATTAAAATATGAAACTAAATTAATAACCCTTTGTGTCTAAATGTAAAGGCCTTTTCAAAGAGGACACAGCAGTGAATCCAGGGGGAAAAACATTCATCAAACCACTGCATGAAAAGACAAATAAAACTGATGGCCGGTTATATAAATTAAAACTAATATAAAATGTATCTTCTAACTGTCTTTTTTCTTCTAAACTCTTAATTTATCTTTCACTTTCTTTTCTCCAACCCTTACTTTGTTTCACTGTCCTGACAGTTTTTCATGCCTTTCTTCTTGCCAGATATCAACTGTTTGAAGAACAGTTAGACTGTTAAACAAGAATCACATCAGAGATGAAAATACTTACAAAAGATGTCTTGTAAAAATCATTGTGGTCCTCCTCGAAAAGTAGTGGTAGGCCATGATGAAGAACGCTGTTCGTTCCGCATTGATATTAGATTTCTGCAAAGTTATAAAAATGTATATTGAATAGCACTCGTTACTAGCAAAACGTCAGAGCAAAAAACAACAGTAAAAGCAACATATGTTTTGCAATCGAGACATAATTGTGATATGTCGATGAGCTTACGTCATTTTGAATCTGCTGCAGAATCTTAAGTTTGGAGCCAATAGTATCTCCAGATTTAGCCTTGAATTTATTGATGAAACGTTGAGCGAATCTGTCACAAAATAAAGACAAAATAAGGTATTAACTGCTTGTTAGTTAGACTTCTTAATTAATGCGTCATGTAATTAATATTTATGTGAACGACACGTGAGCATTGAACTTTCTAGAAAGAAGGAAAGTTACGTTAGCTGCTATCTAGGCCGCACAGCCAGGGTTTTTACATTTTAGATAAACCCCAAACTTAAACGATTAACACAGCATACAAACTGTAACTAATATAAAACACGTGTTCAGTAAAAATCGTTTTTTAATCTAGTAACTTATGCCGCTTGTCTCAACTGGTCTCATTCGACATAAAACTAACGTTACTTCAGTGTGTCTTTTCCTCTTACTGCACAATGAGCAAAATAAATTCTGTTTTTAAGCTATACAATGACATTAAAGTTGATAAATAGTTGTTCAAGAGGCTAGCATACCTAGTTTTGCTGCCGCATCCATTCCCGAACACGAGCTGAAGTCCCTCGTCGATGTCGTCTCGTCTTGACGTCTTCCTCAAGTTCAACCGTCCAATTGCGCAAATGCGCATGCGCGAGTTGAAAAAAAAAAAATAACCGAGTTGTTTCGTCTTATGCTGAAACTTAATAACCAAAGTAAATGTATAAAGATTTGTTTCTAAAAATATAAAGGACTGTGAAGTAGCAGCCGATGGGCTTGCTTTTTATCTTCCCAGTTATTTTTTTAAGCGTGCAGGAAAAAAAGATTCAGAACCTATTAACTATATATTAACCTATTAACTATTTTCAAACTAATTGTATGGTATTTACTAAAAATGTTGTTAATTTCACTATTATTATTATTATTACTATCCAAATTCTGTGCTCCAGAAATTTTCAACAGTGTGAAAATGCCTTTAGTACAATACACTTACCAAACTTAAGTACAATGTACTAGATTTGTTTAGTTTGACTATTGCATCCACCTAAAAGTTCACAGTACACAGTGTAATCAAGTTAAATCAACTAAGTTTCTAAAGTAAGTTAAATTCACTAGTTTTTCTTAAGTAGAATCAGCAATTACTTTTTACAGTGTATATGCTATATAATAGTCATTTTCCTACATACCTGTTTTATATATCATTAATGTAATACATTTATATATATATATATATATATATATATAATATTTATATTTTTTATAAATATAAATATTTTATTTTATATGAAAATATTTAAATGATTTTAATATTTGCATTTTAAATATTTAAATTATTAGAGCATGAGCACTGATGGTGTGAGGACCCCCTTAGAATTGCTCTGTTTATTATTATTTGATAATAATTCTTTTTTCATATATATAAGATATTAAAAAATTGGTATTATTATAAAATATAAATAATTATAATTTTTTTTAATGGTATATAATTATAATTATTTAAAATCTTTATATATATATATATATATATATACATATATACCATTTATTATTTTCTATTCATATTTTAATTATTTAAATGATTAGTAAATACACATTATTTTAAATAATTTGGCAAATAAAAAAATGGCAATGTTTTATATTAAATATATATAATAAGACAATATACATCTTTTTATTTATACATTGTTATATATGTTTATATTTTAACCACATAGATCATAGATTAAAACATTATAAATTACTATTAAATTATAATTATTTTAAATATTTTTCATAATACTAAATAAATATACAATAATATAAAAGTCTGCAGTCAAAAGTCTTAATCTTAATATCAAATATAAAGTCTTTATATGAACTCAGGTGTTAAATACCAAGTTATCTGAGTTATGCCATTTACATTAATTTTAAAGCGCACAATTTTTTTTATGTCAAAAAATTGTCTAATTTGTCCCTATTTATAGGAACTAGGTGAAAGTTAAATAAAACTTTCTTCTCTCTCCTCGTCAAAGCGCATTTATATTGGAAATATGGTTTGATTGATGGAGATCTCCTGCACACTAGGCTGTGACCCCGTTTGCCACTTGCCCGGCTCATTTTCAGCATGCAAAGCTTTTCACATTTCTCAGATTTAAATGTAACAAGAGCGAGGCGTAGGACGCGCCAAAAGGGAGGACAGCGTCGACGAGAATTTCAGGGCCGCTGAACACACTGAAAGAGTTTCAGGCCAGACTTCCGCGGCTGGTTAACCAATAGCCCTAACCTTGAGTTAACCGCTGCAAATATCTGTCTGTTACTCCACGGCTGTGGGGTGTGTTCCGTTCCGTTTATCTCGCCAGCAATGTGTGTGAGTGTTCAGACCTGAATAAAGTATTGTATAAATGGGCCTGCAGGGCAGCTGAGTTGGCAGGGAGGGAAGAAGTCTGTCAGTATGATATGAGGTGTGTGTGTTTAGAAAGAGAGGTTTGAGGCGGCTCATCTGCGTTACAGGAAACCGACCGAGTCACATTTAGCTCTCGCCTTATCTCACCTCTGGAAAAGCAGAGGAAAAAACACACTGTTGATAGGGTTATGAGTGTGTGCGTGCAACTCAGGATGTTCCCACACTCTCTCTCTCTCTCTCTCTCTCAGGTGGCCAAGGTGGAGTACGTACGCAGGAGGCCAAAGCTTCGGGAGGTGCAGGTGCAGCTGGAGGATCATCTCGAGTGTGTGTGCACGTCCAAACATCACTCAGAGTCCCGCATACACACAGGTACGCAAACACTGCCGCCTTTAAAGTTGCAGTACAAAGTTTCTGATAAACACTGTTGATATTTTGAATCAACCCAAACAAACACACCCCTCCCTTCATTGCTGTGCCCCCAAAATGAGTAGATGTCTCTTTATCATACCTGAAGCAAAACAAAATAACACGAAGAATTAACAGACAGTAAAAACTGTCCTGTTGTTAGCCAACATGACAAAAACAGCATATCTTGGTTCTAAGAAACAGAAAAACTAAAGTTACTCATGTATGGAGCAGAAACAACGCAACCTTACGTCTGTTTTCAGGCCTTCCCGCTTCGGTCTCTCCAGCACTGGATATATTTTCTAATTTTAACGAGGGTCCTTAAGCTCATATCCCTTTTTTCCCAGTGATATTCTCCTGAGCTTTTCTCTTTTTGTAATGTCTCTCAGGCATCTCTCTTTCTACAGTCTTCAAATCTTTCTCTTGCTCTCTCTCTCTCCTCCCCCATCATGAGTGGACACACCCACTACTGCCAATTGGCTACAAGTTTGTTGTGGCATTCGGTCCAATCCACTTTCAACAGCGTTTCTCAGAAATCGCTTACTGTACCTTTACTCAACTTAATTTATAGAGCACTTTCAACACCACAAGTGGAACCAAAGTGCTGTACAGAAGCCTTTAAACCCACTCAGTCTTTTTAATCATTTGCTTTCCCACACCTCGTTTTATTTTTCCCTCTCCGCCCTTTTCCTGCCTTGTCGTTTCCCTTCGTTCCTCCACTCAAAGGCCAGAGCTAAAAAAAGAGGAGGAAATGGAAAATAAGATAAACTGTCCGAAAGCGGCAGTACAGATTTACAGACTCTATATTTAGACTAATGGTCAGTAAGATGAAAGCCAAGTGGACTTATTGGTCAAGGTCGAGAGTAAGAGCAGTCTAGGGAGTGTCTTTATACAAAATATGATGATTTTCATAAATTACACCAAATAAAATCGTTCATTTTCAATGAGAGCTGACGATTTCACACCAGCCCCATAGACACAGAAAGCACCATTTTGTTAGTTCAACATAATTTAAAATTGTATATATATTTAGCGGCAGATATTCCAAGGTTGACCGCCTCGTGTACCTGGTCCTCCATTAGGGCGATTAATGGCGAGACAACAATAACGACTGGGGTCGCGCAAAGGTTAACGCCAAAATCATCTTTTTTTTTTTTTTCAAAATAAGCTTGCATTCTAAACTACTTAGAACAATATCTAAGGCTGCAACAAAAGGTAGCTACGCGTCTGCTGCCATGTTGAATCCATAGATATAAACAAACTGCTTCGGTGTATCACAGATGCCGTCATCACATTGCTGCTCCTTCCCCGTTCTGTGATTGGTTCTGTAATTGAGGCGAAAATCTGGGCCATGGTATCCAGACTGCGTTTAAGCGTGAATAAAATCGTGCTGCGGGAAACCAGCATGGGGAAACCCAGACTAAAAATTACAAGCAATAAAATAACATTTTTATTTTTTATTTTTGCAATTTCTATCCGATGGACTTGTCCGGTAGACTTCCATTGTAAGCGCATTAGCTCAAAAGCTGTGCTGTTAAATGCTTTAAACATCTTTTAAATACATTATTTTTAATGTTATTAAATATGATATTATACTATCATTATATTATCAAATATTATTTTAATAATATTTTATATAAAATCTAATAATATTATAATAACATTTACTTGTATAATATAATGCTATTTTTTATATTAAGACAAATAAACTTTGAGTAAGAAAAATGAAGAACAAAGAAACAAAATAATAATTTTTTTCATCCATGGCACACTTCACTCACACACATCCATTGTAAGCAGCTTTTTTTGTCAGTTCAACAGGTGCGCTGTCAAAAGCTAACAGTGTCTGTTCTCCACAGCAGATATAAGGTGAGCGTGGCTCTGGATAAAAGAAAGCAGAGAAGGTGGGCCATCACGTCCAATCAGATAACTCGGACTGCACGGCAGCCATTGAGTGATATCATCTGAAGAGACGAGGCGGATGTGAACTGTTCAGCAATGAGCGAATCAGGGCGGCCTTTTTGGCTTACTTTGGACTTTTGATGCACCTTTAGAAGCGACCCCGAGAGAGACTTTGGATTAAAACCCTGGGGGAACAAAGCACAAAAAAACTAGAGACTGCAATGACAGAGACTCGCAGAGCCTGTAAACGAACTTTGAGTCGCAGACGTCGAAGTACTGATTCCACGACCTTTTAAAGGAGCATCTATCACAACTTTATTTGTGTATCAAAATGTATTTCTCCAGCAAATATCTGTATCATCTTATTTTTGTATAACTGCCAGTTTTCTATCAACAATGATCTTCTCTTGTCTTATATATGCCGTAGAACGAACGAGTACATCAAAACACAATCTACAGTAACTGATACTTAATAAAGTGAATACATTTTATGACGTTTGTCTGATGGACAAAGATGAATATGTCTCAAAGATGAGTATGATTATGTGCATTCATAACACCGTGTGGTAATTCTTCACATGAACCAAATGCAACCACATCAAAACCATGGGTGGCAGCCAATTTTAAGTCTACTTTAAATATGTCCTACAGACGATACAATTGAGATTAATGCAACCACAATGTCATATTTACTATTTTTAATTTTGGGAAACTTTGGATTTTGATATTGATCACACATGTTTGTAATCATGAATGTTTAATGTCATTTCTACGTGTTTCGACAACAACTACATTTCTCATAAAATTCGTGGCTTCAGGAGAATGATAAAATGCATAAATTACACATAAGCTGACTAAATTACTTGAACCAACACTGAGGGGATAAAGCTTTTTAACAGTTGCTTGATTTCTGTTTTTTCAGCATCACAGCAGGTGGCCCCGCCCCCTCGAAATCTTATTGGACCAAAGTAGCGTTTTTCATGTAGCCTATGTTAAAGTCCCCGTGAACCGGAAGTTGCAAACAAATTTTCTCCAGTGTTGTGACTAATTTCCCAATGGGGTAATTCATCGACCGGAAGTTGAAGCCTCGCGGGAGCTGCCATCTTGTAGCAGAACTTCACTTGCGTTAGCATTTCCATTGACTTTCATTCATTTTGGCGTCACTTTGACAGCAAATAACTTTACATCTGAGGCGTTTGAAGACCCCATTTGTCCATTATTTATTTCTAAAGAAACACAAAAATGTATAAAATGCTCCATTACCTTGTAGCTTATGTTATGGCCCCGTAGAAGCAGTTTATTGTAAAAGTAGGCTAACGATTGCTTCATACCCACGCGACTCTCTATCGCACAGTAGAGAGATTACCGTATGCACAGGAGAAGAAGCTCACGGGCAATCGGGGAAACGTGGAGGCAAAATGACAAAATAATTAATCAGAATACCTAGCAAAAGTGTCTCCTGCTCCTAGCTCATGGACAGCTCCTACTCACACTCTTCGCCTCTGCAAGTTTCGGAAGGGAATGATTCAGATTTCTTATGCCACAGCCACTAGAAGACAGACGGGTTGCTGACGTCACTTCTACATCGTCAAGCTCTGTTTGAGTCGGTTTGAATCTGCGCGTCAGGAACGGAAGTCCTAAAAAAATCACTAAAAATGGACTTCACTTGTCTCAATAGAGTTCCAATGAGATGGCTCTGTCCACTTCTTATACTGTCTATGCTAATTTCTGAGAGAAACAGAATAATAAATGAGGCAAAATAGTGAGCGTGGATTTTTTTTCCAACTAGCACCAGATTGGATCAAGAAAAGTAGGTGTTACACTAATTGGAATTATAAAACTATTTTTATTGTGTCAGGAAACTTAGTTTTAAGAGTTTTTTGTGGTTACGGATGTTAAGCAGACACCCAAACCGCCAAACCTACATCATCAGGGAAGATCCTCCAATGCAGAGAGGAGGTTAATTTTGATTAAAGATTATGAAGCCTGTGCAGGACTGCATTTCTTTAGGATTTTTCAGGGGGGTTTTCATTTTGAATATGTTTATTCTAGTGAGGACTTTAATTTTGAAACTTCACAAACAACCCCTTAGTACAAGAAACAGGAAGTACTAATAGTACTGCAGTAGTTCAGCAAAATGTGATAGCTATGTTTCATCTTTAAGCATCATCTTTCTTTGCACGCAATGTCTGTAAGTACATAATGTTAAATTCATTGTGTGATGCATATGAGAAGGTTATTTGATATTAAGATGTATATTTTCTTAGTTTAATTATCCCTATGTTATTGTCAATCTGTAATTTTCTAATTTCATATTTAGTGATTGTATCTTTTGTATATTTTTACAGTTTCACAGTTGAATCATAAACTTCAGACACGACTTGAAGTGTCCAGCAAGGTTTTTGAGTCACTGTTTAACTTACTGGATAGTTAGATGCCAGAGAAATCTAATGCGAGAGAGAGAGTCTGATTGGCTGCTTGATCGCGTCAGGTCACGCCCCATTTTCGTTTCCCTTCGCGCCAGTATGAACGTTCCTGCTTTAAGACATCTAATAAGTTCTGATCGACTTATTCCGTGCAGCTCTAAAATGACGATAATTGAGATGATGGAAGCTGCTCTGTCAGGTTCTGGCATATCCAAAGCAAACATCAGCCACATAAACACACACATTCATATCCAAACCACTAAACCAAACTGTGCCCTGACTGGTCGCCCAGTCCCTGTCTGGCTGCTCCAGAAAATTTGATGGGGCTCCTGAAATTGGCTTGTGCTGAAACCCGGCGTTGTTTCAAAATGAGAGCTAATTATAATTGCCAGTTACTGTCACAGACCTAGCGTTTATACACCAAACTCACAAAACTTGTAGACAGTGGTTAGCTGAGAGATGAGGTCAGAATAACGTCAATGTGATGTGTGAGATCTTGTTGTTATGTAACAAGTAGGCCTATTACCCACAAATGCAGTTACATGTTGGTTTGAGGACTTAAATATGCTTTCTTTACTCCAAACCACAAGATGTTTGAAGACACAATAGATCCAATAGTGAGTCATTATAGTGAATAGTGAGTCATTAATGTGACGTTGTGATCATCTACAGTACAAGTGTGTGATGAGCATGTGTGGATGTGTTTTATAGTACTTAACACATCCACTTTCCAAAAAAAAAAAACAGGCAGAAGGCCAGAAGCATATAAAATAATGTTGAAATGTCAATTAAAGTACATGTCATTCAATATCTAAACGTACTGATGTATTATAAATTGACTATTTTAATCATTTAATCTTTTCTTCCTATTTCGTCCTCTTTTCGCTATTCTATTGTGACACATATCCAAGTGAATTGGCATTTCGTACAATAACAAAATAGAAAACGTCCATTTTGATTTCATGTTTTTAAATAAAAATGCTATTAGAATCAGTTGTGATTGGAATCTCTCGTCTGCTTCTTATAAGATGGTGCTCTCTATAGAGTGCCGAAGTTATCACGTCACTTTTTTGGCCAAAACGCGGAAGTGAGTTAGCATTTTAGCACTTCCAGTTCCCTCACTCTAAAGTCTAAGGGTTTTTGAATGGGTTTTTGCTAAATCGCCTGAAATAAGGTCTGTGGTGAACAAATTTGGCTCTAAATATTTTCACGTTTTGATCTATGACATACAACCTGCTTGTGGCTTTTTAAACTTTATTGTGTCTGCTCTTTGTTGAACACAGATCTTATTTTTTTCGACTTTCCAAAAGTCTATGGGGAAAATGCATAGCTTTTCGATCGAGGGAACCCATGCGCCGCTAACTTCCCGAGTTGTCCTAGAAAGTGGCGTCATCACTTCGGCACTCTATTAGTATTAGAGTATTGCACCATTAGCAACATGCTAACATTATAATTCATTTTTAGTCGAGTTTCCCATGCGTTTCTTGTGAGGAGCGCACGATGTTCTGCTCGTGTATGTTTCAAAAAGAGGGGCAGTTCAGTTCACTAGGTTTTTGAAAAGTCAGCTAATTTAGCCTCAAAGCGAAAGTAAGAAAAAGAAGGACAAGAGAGATCTGTTTCACCCAATTTAAGTTGAAGTACAGAAGCTTAATTCAGCTGTGAAAACTCTGTCATGTGTGGAAATGAGGTTTATTGCCGTTAATAGTGTAAATTACAGAATGGCCTTTTCCTGACTCTCTGATGGATTCGGGTTTCTGACCTCAGATGGAAGCAAACAAAGGAAAGGATACAGGGAATTTGTTTCTCAGACTCGCATTTCAACCCATTTTCTTTCTTTCATTCTCATTTTCCCTCTCTCATCTGAAAGCTTTCTTGTGAGTAGCCTACAATAAACAACCACTTCATTTGTTTTATCCGTTACATCAGCAACTGACATCCTTTGATATCATAGAGAAAGTGTTTCTGCTCCGGGGTAGAACTGAATATAGTCGCTGTAACACAACGTGATTGTTCTTAAGAAAATGGCTTTTGTTTCACAAAGTGTTGATCTGATATAAAAGATCCAACGGTGTGAATCACGGCCTTCAGGCAGGCATGTCCATTTCCTGTTTTAAGCTTTCTGACTGAAGGGCTACAAGTAATCTCACATCTTTTGTCACAACATACCTTGCTTGGAGCCAGAGGGGCGTAAGTGGCATTTTGGGCGAATATGAGTTCTTTATATCAAAATAAAGGTCTCGATGAGCTCTATCCAATGGTGCCAAAATACCTGTCTGAGATCAAACTGTATAGAATAAAGCAACAAAAAGGCGTATCTGACGTATTTGACTTATTTTTTAAATTCGAAAATGTTTGAGAAAATCTTCACTGTTAATATGCCATACATTTTTTACTTAAATACTCATTCATGTAAGTATGCCTGTGGTTGCAATATTTGTGGTTTAAGGTTCAAAAAATTTGTTTTGTCTCTCCTGTAAAGTTTGTTAAAAGCCACTTACGCCCCTCTGGCTCCAAGCCCTCGATTTGTATTCTTCATTATACAAAATAATTATACACAGTACACCCACATATATTATATAAACACAAACTTTTATTTTGGATGCGGTAAATCGCGATTAATCGTTTGACAGCCCTATCTAAATGTGGCTTCAGAACCTCCTCCAGTGCATGTTTTGGAGATTTTTTTCGCCCATGGTGGCGAATTTGTGGCAGATTCTTATGTATTCGTACAATCTCATTTGTATGTACCGGTATAGATTCTGGTTAGATTTAGGGGCCTTCATGTTTGTTTTACTTACAATATGTACGATATGTTTCTGTACGAAACGAATCGTAAGAATTCACACAAAATCGTCAATTTGCTTACGGATTTGAGATCAGATTGGAAGATGCAGCCAATAGTGGAAGTGATTGAATTTATACAAAGTCACCAAAGTGGAAGTGTAAACTGCGTCTAGTTCTTCGATGTCTTAGGTCTGCATATGAAGGATTAGTCCAGCTGTGACATTCTACTTTGAGGAACAGGGCAGGTTAATACTCTCGAGGGGGAGGGATGGAGGATTTGA